ATGATGGCTTCATTTATGTCACAGAACATGTAGCTCACATCCGAAAAATTGATGGCTCCTTAGTGCCAGTGTTGCCTATGAACTTGTCATGGCAAATGCAGCAACCAATGCTGACATTGAGCATTGATCAGGGAGGAGTGGGCATGGCTGCCGCTGCTTTTCTGTTAAAAGATCACATGCTGCACACCCGGTGTGACAAGATCCACCGAGTTGTCAGAGACTACAAGCTGGCAATTGGTCATGCTGCAGATGGATTGTTCTTGAAGGCGCAGCTTCACTCTGGCTATGTTTTCTCTATCAACTACAGGCCATTCAACAAAGGCAACTTCTTTGAGCGAAAGAAAGATATGGTTGAATCATTTCTTGCAACAAGGCAACTTGGGAAGCTGGGAGCAACTTGTCATGGTGTTTTGTTGGTCACTGTAATTTATTTGATTTTTGTGCTTTTTGCTGTAAAAAATCAATGATGTGGACTCCACCTAGGTCGGCAACACTGCAGGAGCATTCCCACTGGCGGTCAAGATCATGACTCCTAAGCTTGACACCCCTGTCTTGATGCTGCAAATGGCCACCGGGCCCTTGTGGACCTGGTATACGAGGCAGGTGAAGAAGGTCAAAACCCAGTTCGACGCGATTGACTACGCCATCTCAATGGTGTTGCCATTGGAAGGATGGTCATGGATGGGAGAGGAACACCTGCGTGACCTTGCAAAGGTGCTTTGCAGTGAGGAGGTATCAAAGTTCAATTGTGAAAATGATTCCCTGTCGGCGCTCAAGATATTTGAGTTGATTATGCAGTTGCTTGCGGGGCGGACATGGTCATTGGCTGTTCGGCGTGCCCTGCCCCCAGAGCAATATGCTGGAGTGCTCTCTCCTGAGAAGGAAGTTCGCAAGACATCCCTGGAGCTTTTGAGGAAGCATCACGAATGCCTTCTGAAATGGGAGGATGATGTTGCCAGTGATCCAAGTTTGAAGGAAAGTGTTGTTGCTCAGCAGCTCCAAGAAAATGTTTGCTTTGCAGTCAACCGTCCGGCAAGACTTATGATGGATGCAATTGAAAGCATTGACTATGACCACAGGCGACTGCGAGGGTATGGCCACAAGACCAGCGTGGTACTGGGGCAGAACCATAAGGAAGCTGGAGAACACTTGCTGCAGACATTGATCCAAACATTCCCTGACAACAAGATAGTTGAAGATGTTCACAATGCCTTGCGATTGGAAGCCAGGGGAAACAAAAATAACAAATTGACGCCTTCAACCATGCAATCGGTTTGCATGAACTCTGGAGTCCTTGAAAGCCGTGGCGTTTCACATCAAGCTGACGTATCTGAGTCTGAGTTTATTCAGGCACTGGGATCTGTGAAGAGAGTCAAGGAAATGTACTTCTCAAAGGCGCACGTGTTGCCTGAAGAATGTATTTCAATTTGTAGCACGAGGTCATGGAGTGCATTTACAGAGGAGTCATTGGAAACAGGTGCAGCAGCTTGGGCCTGGCTCCAATTTCAGTCTCAGACCCTTTCGGTCTTTGGCAACCTGAAAGCCACTTCAGGAGTCTTCAGCAAAGTGGCCAGAAGGGGCCTGGTGTTTCAGCTGGAGGACACTGTGTCATCGCCGCCACAGTTTTCTTTGGTGATTTGTCTTCAGTGCAATCGATCTTCTTGGGAGAATCTTCTGGATGTTATGCTGAAGGACCGAACGTATGCTGGCAACCTATTTTGTTCATTCACTTTATATATTGATTGCATAAATGTATAACTTGCTTGCTGAAGGACCGACCCTATCCTGGCATGTATAACTTGCTCTTTTTTGATTGTCAGGTATAGTGGATCATGGCAGAAGAAGTTGTTGGATCAGCTGGCTGTGCATGGGGTAACTGGCTTGAAAGAGAGACACAATCAAGGAGATCACGAGCAAGTTGGCCTACAAGATCCAATCTTTGTGGACCTGGTCCACCAGGTTTGGTCACGGAAGCAGAACGAAGCAGATCAGCTCAAGAAAGACTTATTCAAGTCTGACCTGGGAAATGAATGTCTTGTCACGTATTGTCAATTTTAACCTAGACTAAAAATTTTGCCCTACTGCATGTTTGACTGAGTTTGATGTTGTTTGCAAGGGTTGGAATCCCTGCCAGCACAGTGCTCTTCAGCCAAAAACTGTCTAGAATTTGACTAGATTCAACAACTATTATTCAATGCTTGCCAGCACAGTCAAAGCTTGACTACTTTCAACAAATAAATACTGTTCAATGACTAGACTAGTTGCAAAAACCTTACTTTGTCACAACCCCTGCCAGCACAGTGCTCTTCAGCCTAAATTCAAAACTTACTAAGCTAGTTAGTTCAAGAACGTTCAACGAGGCCAGGAGTGATTTATGGTTAAGGAACCGTGTGTACTTAGTACATTTTTCATTGTTTTTTGTAGGTTGACTTGTTGCTCGGCTCGTCAACTTATCGTATAAGGCTTTGTTGAACTTTCATTTTGTCTGCAAGTTCACCGCAACTTCACTCGTGGCTTCACTCGTGGATGTACCCGTGAAAACACTTTTGGTTCACTCATACTTTTACCCCTTGGTGAATTTTGTTCAAAATCAGGTCTAATCACTTTTGAGTCATGTTTACTCTTTTTGAGTAATTGCTAATCATTTTAGATCTTATTTGTGACAATTTTATGCTTAAAACATGATTCAAAAAGATCAAAACAATTTCAAAAATGCAAAACAAGACTCGCCAGACTCGCCCAAAAGCCTCGCCGGTAAGACCGCCCACTTTGATTTGGTGATTCTCGGTTGGCCGATTCAACCGGCAGTTTCCCGGTTGGCCGGTTAAACCGGCGGTTGACATGCATGGTTGATCGGTTCAACCGGCAGGTTTCCGGTTGGCCGGTTCAACAGGCAGTCTCCCGGTTGCCCGGTTGAACCGCCGGTTGAGCCGGCCAACCGGGAAACCGCCGGATGAGCCGGCCAACCGGGAAACCG